CCCCGCGTATGCCATATCTGGCACTATTAGGTCGGAAAACGGCCTGGTTGGGGAATCATTATAACTTTAAAAATTGGCCCGTGTGTATCCTCGAACGAGTTTCACCGGCATTGTAGAGGCTGCACCGATCAAAGGGGCACCCATGTAGGAAGTTCAAACAACTTGTCATGACCCATAGCGACAGTGAAAGACAGTTCTGTACAGTTCTGGCTTGATGTAGTCAGCTCTTTGTGCAATTGCAATAACTGAACTCTCGTCCCAATACCCCTTCTATGTTAAATCCGTCATGGCAATTTCGTCCAACCTCTATTTTCCCTACTTTTGAGAAGCCATATTTTTCTCGAAATTGGCGAATTCTCTCGCTTTCTTCACTACCGATGTACTTTTCCCAATCTATACTTCCGCTTTTCGAATAAAAACACGTACCTCAAAACTATCGTGAACTGTGCCTTTAGTGCTGATCTCTTTTTTTATCACTTGTTGGTTGATTTGATGGTTATTGCGTGCTATTCATGTGAGTGCCGGTCGGGACGCATGTTTGAGTGCAATAAGCAGACCAATCTGGCTCTTCATAGAACAAAATCGAGGTGCTCATGAATCGCATGCAGCTGCCGTCTAACGGACAGAGCGATAATCGATAGAGGACAGTCATCACAGAATAACTCATTTGACATTGAGGGCATTTTTTTGAAAATCCAACTATGTGGAGTAGCTCTGAAATTGGAAATGTTGTCCTGTCAAAAAAACTCGCTGCACACTGTTCCTCAAAGCACAGCACTTAATAACCGCGCACTTGCAACTCTCAAATGGATTCCCGCAAAGCATTCAGCGTGTTCAGGAGTGCTTTGCAGTCATCTTGTTGATAAATTCGACAATAGATGCCTTGAAACTCTGTGAATATGCCGAAAAATCGACCTCTAGTGCACAATGCCAAATGCTTGAAACCTGGATTGGATATGTTTATGGGAACGGTAGGAGTCCGGAGGCGATTCAGCGCGCAGAGTTGTGTGTGTACGATATTTGTGGTTTCTTAGGCTTCTTGACAATGAAATTAATTTCTTGACATCCTCAACTGTGTCCTCCACCTTGACAGGACATGGTACAATCCAAGATTACTTTCGAGCACTTTAGTAAGGGTCTCGGTACTTCTCCCCGATCCCAGTGGCAAGCGGCAGTAGTTCAACGGCGGATACCGCAAACTTTCACTAAAAATTCCAACCTTTCCCTTGCGCGTGAGATCGCGTGTGGCCAGCGTGGCAAGATTTCTAGGTATACGTTCCCCCACCTTTTAATGAACACATAAAATAACCTCTATGAATGATGTTGCGCCAAGGTCATGTAAATTTTCCCCTCAGGGTGAGACTCAAACACAAGCCTTCCGTTTTTCTCAAGTGTGAAATAGTAACATATCCTGTAAAGCTCAACGAGCGGATTGCAGACTTCCGTATAGTAAGACTGTGAGTCGAGAGCAATCTATAAGCAAAACAAATGCTCTATCCTCTCTGAACCGTCGCTGCAACTATTACGAAAAAGACGCACCTCGTGCTCAAACCGTAAGGCGTCATATGGTACTGAGCCGCCAATTTCCGTGACTATGCCATCATTGTCGATAGTGATTGGCACGTTTTCCTCGAGTTTCCCGTCGATAAAGGCGTAACGAGGCAAAATAGTTTTCCCGCGATATGACGTCGCCGATGTTGACATCGATTATTCTGTCAATAATTTTCGTCAAAAATGGAAATTAATCTCAATCATAAGAACCAAAGAACAACGAATTTCTATCGATTGGCGTGCACTTAGAGAGATGAGATAAGGACGGGTGGGGGCAATCTCGATTGTGGCGGACAGGTTTCTCATTTCGCTGGTTCAATATCAAAGTGATAGCAAGTGAAATCATCGTACTTTTTATGAAAATCTCCAAGGAAAAGATATCTTTTGCAGGTGACTTGTGATGGCCTCGAAATTGGGAACGTGGAGAGTTTTGGCAAACGAAAACGCAAACGCGATGTGGATCAGGAAACCGATGGCCGCTCCAAAAAGTCAAAGCCCAACTTTAATACTACCTCAACAAAGGTATGAAACAAGTTCGCCAATTTCGCACCCACAACAGTGAAGTAAATTTCTGGAGGAGTGAAAATGTAAGGATCTTTGTTGCATGCGTACGAGTTGTCCCGATTGCTACCTGATGAGAGAGTGATCGTTAGAAAAAATTTCCAAATATCGACCCCTGTCATCCATCTATTGGGCCGTCTACGTGCTATTGGGCAGAAATTGCATGCCGTTGCATCAATTCAGCAAACCCTGGCTCTGAGCGCTTTTTTTGGTACCTGCCACGCTCGTATTCGAAGGTGAAATCCATTTTACAACGAGGTGCTGTGAACTGCATGACTACCATGGCCTTCGTTTTATTTGCTGATCGGTCGAATACGGAAATGACCAGGAAATGTCGCTGTAAAACTGAGCGCACAAGGCAAGACTGGATGTAAAACACTCCCTCCATGACGTCAAAGCATAGAAATTTAAGAAGTCCAAAAGTTCACTACCGAAGAGCCCGCTTTACACGGAACCCGGATCAGTCCAGATCAAGCAAAGAGTAAATTTCATTCAAAAGTGCTCTACATTCACATCGTTTATCTTGCACACCTGGGCTGCTTACCATGCAGTGGACCATGCAGTTTGAGCATGTCGTAGAAATACATTAGTTCCATACGACGGCTTTTCCTCAAAAGAGGCGTTTGTGGAAGCTTGTCCTTTTTGAAAAAAGAACGAAGTACATATTGCTCGCAGCTGTACCACATAATTGAGCCCAAAGTGCACTGCCTTTCAGAAAGCAAAGGTCAATCGAAATTCCTGGGACATTGCGAAGTGACCTCCACATACGGGCCTCAGTGAATCTCGGCATGATTTAGTTTGATATGATTTTGTGTTCAACACTCACGAGGTTGTTATTAAACTTTATTGACTGATGTTTCGGCGACGTCACCCTCCTCAGAGCCTAAAGAGATCAACCAATTTGTGCATATCCGATCAAACGCCTCTGTAGCCCTACTGAAGTTCAAGACCCCCAGAGCACGCACGTAAGCTGAAAAAGGAGCCACTCACCGTAACCTTGTCTGGCCCACGTAATGTTCGAATCCGTGAGGTGAGCAGTAGCGTCCCTGATCTTCCTTAGGTTATAGAGCTGGGAATTCGGACTCCTCCTGCAATTGTACGTGTCGGAGAATTGTGAGCGTTGTTCATTGCACAGCGCGTAGAATGACGCTGACTGTGGGCTCATCCTGCACTCGTAGATTGCAATTTTCTGATGCGTGAATGAATGCAAGAGTGACCGCAGTGTTAAAAAAATGGGCTCGTGCTTGCATGCTCTCTCCTCTCGTTTCCTTCTGCTCAACTCCGGAGCTAGGTTCCATCAGATTGACCTCTCGACTAAATTGTAAGTCGCTAGAGCCTTCAGAGGTGCTCGTACTTTCGAGTTCAAAAGGAAAAACGAAGAACCAGTCCGTTTCCCATTGAGATCTTCTTCATTGGATTCAACTACAAATTATCCTAAAGGCGTTCCCTGAATCAACCAGAATTCGTTCCGTTTGCTCTATGCTCGGTGTTAAAAGTCCGATCGCGTTCAATGAGGGGTGATGGATTTGGCGCCTTCAACCTTTACTCCCATTTTGCCATTCTAAGAAACGTTCACGAGCGAGTTCTGAAGAGTTTGGGAGGCACCTACTGAATCCCTTTTTCACATTGCCGATGGTTTCCCTGTTGAATAATAAGATTCTAGTCATAGATGCCGATTAGCCTCTGGTCGCCTAGGGCTTCTGTACCACCAGTGTCAGAGGCCTTCACCAAATCGATGAATATATAATAGATAAAGCATACTCTTTACAGTCCTTAATGAGTCTTGCGTTGTTATGAACTTTCGATCTAGACCCCTCCCGACACCCTGCTTACGGTTATGCCTCACCGATTATTTTGCCAATCCGAACCTTTGTGAACATTTCGAAGACAACAGACAGCAGGCAGATCGACCGGAGATTGCCCTGTTTTCGTATACCATGAAGCCTCCTTTCCTGTTAAAAGTTTCCGCAAAATGAGCACCTTGCCAGTGAAAAATGCCGCATATTAGGTCGCGTCATGGTTTTATGGTTTTGAGGTTCCTGAGGGAGCAACAAGATATCATTGTTTGACCCTATCCTAACCTGGCGCCATATAACTCTTCATAGACGTGATCCAGGAAGTACGAACTGAGGACGACATAGTTATTCTGCCTGAGTCATAGGCAAGCAGATAGACATGGCTGTAAGAAAGATCATAGGTTTCAATGCAAGTTGCGGATACTCTCCCAAAGTCTAGCGTCTTCGACCGTCTACTCTACTATTGTTGGAACTTCCTTTATCGCTGCTTCGTAGCTTGGAAACTTCGGACGTAATTGGTATTCATCTGCAGCTCCCAGGACTCTACGCTGACATATCAGCTCGAGACTCATTGGAGGGAGACGTCTCTTTGTGACCGTCAACCTCTCCTCTTCGCTAGCACTATCAAAAGGAATCTCGACGAACCGAGTGTATCTCAGTCGATCATGTTGGTGACGGACAATGAACTTGTGGCGGAGTGATCATAAAATGTAACGGTCCTGGGGTTCCGTTTCGTGAACTTGGCGACTCTCCCTGTTCTCACTGATACGCAGAATATTGCCGCGGAACAAATGATCGTACATTCCTGGCGACTGCGATTCAACAGCGACATCACTCAAAGCTAAGCATCGAACTGAGTAAGCTGTAGTGGATTTGATTATGAACTGTAAGGTGAAGTGACTCACAAGTCCACAGCGTATGAGAGATCTTTTGAAATTGCGCATCGGCAATGGGTCTGGATATTCTACGAGTCATCCGGGTTTAGTCAAGTTATCCCACAGTCAAAACGGAGGTCATTTGTTAGAGGAACGGTCCTTCTTATCCTCGATCCACTCCTTATCGGCCACCTGGGGTCGCGCCACACAGCCTCGCCATCAACCGATTAGCGAAATCCTTCAGTGAAGGAAATCCGTAGCCGCTAAAAATTTCAATGATCGTCAGAAAAACCACTCCGAAGACGTTTTTTGGAACTCCGATAAGTTTCAAGGTCCATTTTCTTATTTTGGCTAATAGGAATTGTTTAGAGAGCAGTTAAATGACAAGACAGCACCTAAAATGGTAAATGAAAAAGCAAACTGTCACAAAGCAAATCTCGATTAAATTCTTGAGGAAACGGCACGAGTACTTACGCTAGTTCCAAATCTCGCCAAAGAAAATTTAGTATTTCAAGAAACGGAATTAGATCGTTTAAATAGAAATCGAAGAAACTGGCAGTTCATCGCTATTGAATAATCAGCCTTGTAATTTCATTCGTTCTAATCCGTTGAGCCACGTTGTGCATGCTGTACAGCGTGAAGCACTTCTTAGTTTTTCAAATAAGTTATACAAAGTAAGTGACGTCTCGGATTTCGACCTAGGGTAGTATGTTTGTTAAGGATTGAAAGCCAAGGTATTTGGTATTCAACCTTTTGAACGTCTTTGCAACTTCAAAAAAGCTGACACATACTTGAATTACAAGCAGTTCTACTGCACGGTTAAATCTTATGCAGAGGGCCACTGAGTTGGTTGGGAATGGGTGGGCTCCGGCCACATTAACATGAAGACATGAAGACGATGGTGATCGAGGCTAACATTGTCCGAGATGTGAGCGATTTCGCTTTTCATGAGTAGTTCTTCCTACTTCCTTTTCTTTCAGATCATAGTACTCGAATAGGAGATTCTATCTGTGAAACCCTTACAGAAAGCTCACTTTTGCACCTTCATGGAATCTTCTTCAAGTACCCTGCCCTCACGAACTGTGTGAGATCGCGATTAATTCCAACGATTCAAGTAAAGCCTTGTTTTGGTTGGGGGGTGATGCTGCACATGGACTCGGTCTGATCTCTTGGAACGGGTTTTAATCACTCTGTCCTCAAACAAGCGGTGACACTATACTTGGCGAAGGTGAAGATAACGGTGATTGTGGATCAGCTGCCTTGTTTATCTTGTGGAAAGATCTTGATTACTCTGTCCGTATTCGTGCTCACATCTGCGCAACCCGTCCGTTAGCATGGCATCGAACTCGGACTGTAAGCCCAAAGGAACCATTCTCCATTTTTAGTTGCGACGCTGTAAGATATTCCATAGGGTGCTCGGAAAGGTATCGGTTCTCCCATCTATTTGCACTCACCATCTTTAGGCAGTCTTCGAAGGTGATCGCTAATTTTCTCTCAAAGAAGTCTGCCATCCCATAAGGGGTCATAATGTTGTTACCCTGACATTTTCGACGTTTTACAATTGGGAAAATTTCCATAAAACAGCTCACTCTCCCATGAAAGAATACCCTCAGTTGCTCTGCATTTCACATGTGATTCCCATATTTTTGACTTCGCCATTGAGCTGTTCGGAGGATATGGCCATTTCGTTTTTGTTTGAATAGAGGACGAAGTTCTCGCCGATTTAATGGCATTAGAAAAAGGGCCAACAACAGAGCACAGAGTATTTCCTTTCAAATATGTAGCTGGCGACCGTTTGCCGCTGACTCAATGGGATCTCACTGCTGGACTCGGTAGTGTGCCCAGACCGTCATATGGGAGATATGGAGCAGGGGAGGTAACTTCCTCACACCCTGAGAGGCAACGAACAAAAAGAAAAGTA